ATCATACATTGTATTTTTCTGGATTTTTGTTTTAGATTCCATCACTCACAGTTGAAGAGTACCTATGATAAAAATTACAGTCTTCTAAAAGCTTTGCAAGTGGGAAAACCTGAAAAATCAACAATGTATCAAATACTTGTTCTCCCCACTGTGTAATGTGCTTACAGACCACTGTATTGTACAAGTGAGAAGAAGAAATATACTACGCCAGGACTTTTCTGGAAGAAGAAGGTGTGAGGTCACTCATGTACACAATACCTGCCCAGGAAATGCTCCTGTGTAACCTGCCAGGAGTGGAGGGGCCTGGGGGGCCACTGCCCAGACCCAAAGACCAGAGCGAGCCACCCACTGTTGGGTGGGATGCCAGAGAACAGGTCAGTGGCATACAAAGCCACATGATACACCATAGCCAATCATAAAGCAGCATTTTCATGAAAATGAAGATACATAAAAAAAGAATCCAATAAGATGTAAAAAAGATGAAAAGAAGAAGTGCATAGAGTCCCAGAGTGCAGGAAAATTAATGAATGCACAAAACACTGCACAACAGAACAGAAAGAAAAAGTCCAACTGAAAAATAAGACGATCAAAGCATTAAAGCAGTCATGAACCTGAATGAGGATAAACTTGCTGAATGATAACAGTCAGGCCCAAAACAAGCAGCACTATGGGATTATATAGGATTCAGAAGTAATGAGGCAGACAGGAGGGATGTGCTTTACACATAAATCTGTTTTCTGTCAAATTAAAAAAAAACGTCTGTTATGTTTAGTGATACTGTGATGCAATCATCACATTTCCATCAAGAGAAAATTAACCAGCCTCTAACGTGAACTCAGAGACTCTTCAGACCATCACTCACCAGTGTTGGAGCGCTGAATCATGATTGGCTTTGCTCCAACGCTGCTCTGCGTGTGGTGCAGGGGCTCAGGGACAGATGTGGGAGCTGGGGCAGCTGTGCTAGCTGGAGCACTGGATGACTCGGCAGGAGGCTCCTTCACGCCCTCCATCGCCATCAGGACACTGGACAGCTCCTGCAGCGGCATGTTGCCGAGCTCGGAGGAAAAGGGACTGGGTGGGTTTTCCAAACACATCAGCCAGCTGGTGTTACCTGAAATAAAGGAGACACAGAAAAGCACAACCATACTGTTTTATCATGAAATCATCAGCACTAATACATTGTTTATAGTGCTGACTATATTATATTATGTATTACCGTATTTATTCCTGTATAACACGATCTCATGTATAATACGAACCCCGCCCCCTGCTTTTTTGAGCTTAAAAAGCATAAAAAATCGAATCCTCAAACTACCTTCAATTTCATACAGACTTCAAGATTTTTCAGCCTTTGCAGTCTTTAATACATATCAGTAAAATGATCATTGGACTGTTCATTTTATTTTAACAACATATGTACTRAAAGGTATTTTGACAACAAATGTATATCAGCTGTAGCAGCATCATATGAATTCTGGCATTTTACACATAGTCCACCAGGAGGCGCCAACACAAAAGTCAGAGACTTCACATGAGATTTGGACCATCTTCAAGCAGATACAAGCAGATTACTTCCTACTCGCGAGCGCCCCCTCTGGTGGGGAAACTTTTTTCAGGGATAAAAACTTTTTCAGAACACCGGTAGACGGCAGCCATTACAGACGAACATGTTTGCTGTTGTTCCAGCAGCGGCTCGGTCACACGCTAATGTCATTAGTTTATCATTACTGAGGTGCTTCCCCCCCCCTTTTTTTTCACATCATGTCGCCTGCTTGGATCTGTTATTATCTTGCTCTGAAGAACGGAGGAGTGTCAGAGGTGAGCTCGCTTCAGCTGCTTTTTACAATGTGGTCTCATTTCCGGACTCAATAATTTTGCCAATATTTCAGTTAAAATACATAAGTAAAAATATTTATCCGAGTATAATACTACCCCCCAACAGATTTTCTTTTGTTGTTTAGCTCTGATGAAGCTCTATCCATCAGGTCAGGTCAACCACGCAAGAAATGCAATTCTCTAGTTGCTATAGTGATTTGAAAGAGTATTTTCAAAGTGAAAGAAACTATCTGAAATAGCCTGTTGTGCTTAAGAAAATTCTCTTTTGTATAGTTTTGCAAAAATATTGTTTTTTTTTTAAACCAAAATGCACACTGCTCTGCCTTGTATTGCAGAAAGATGACACAGAACTGAACCACGTGTCAAGGCACCGAGAATCTTTGAGGTCATACCTGAAGGTCTCCGTATAAAGATTTCTGCCCAGCCCTGAGTCAGCATTGGGACGAATTCTGCCAGGCTGGGGTTATCTTTGAGAGGAAGAGGAGCAGATGGGCCAGCAGAGGTGGACGAGGGAGGACCAACGCTATCCAGAGTGGGTCCCGAGGAGGGAGAAAGAGGAGGGGCTAGCTCACCCTCAGAGGGGGAGACAAGAGGACTGAGACTCTGTGTAGGACCACCACGTAGAGCATGACCCCCTGGAAAACAAGAAGTTTCATTATAATTATTATTTTATCACTCAGACGCTCTGATTCTCTGCAGTGTTTCCCAAAGTTGGGGTCAGGACCCAAAGTGGGGTCCCGAAACATCAAAGTTGGGTCCTGAAAAGATTTTCTGAATTAATGACATTTTTTACCTTTATTGTTACAAAGGAGTGAGGTTAGTGTATTTAAAATGGATAAATGTAGTATAAAAAATATTGTTACTATGCCCATGTTTAGTTGACCTGATACAAATGTTTATCATCCAAAAACATTTGGGGGCACAGGTCTCTGCTGCTGTTATTTTGTGTCAAAAGCTGAAAAGTTTAGGAACCACTGCACTTTGGTTCCCAAAGTTGGGCTTGGGACCCAATTATGTATGGGTCATGAAGCACCTTGGATAATCTCCAGAAATCAATTTAAAGGCTAATAAAATAATTGCTGATGTAATAATTTACCTATAATTATTACAAAAACACAAAATAAGTATAAATAAGTATTTACATTTGTGTACAAGCTGTTTAGATTGTCAAAAAGCCNGTATAAATAAGTATTTACATTTGTGTACAAGCTGTTTAGATTGTCAAAAAGCCTGTGTTTTAGGGTTATTAACGAAGTTTGTGTACTCAGACCAGTAATATTTGGGGTCACAAGTTTTTGCCATGGATATTTTGTGGGTCAGAAGATAAAAAATTTGGGAACCACTGCTCTACAGTAATTTAATTACATATTTGGGTTTAACAGGGATTTTAAAAAGTAAATGAAACATCAAAAAAAAAGTCATTTAATGCAAGGATAGGTTCAGGTAGACAGAGCTAAAAGAAACTACAAACATACTAATATAATAGAGACAAATGTATAGTTCTAATCAGGGCTCTCAAGTCTCACGCATTGACCATGAGACGCATTTTAGGATGTGCACACGCCACACTTTGCATTTCTCACGATAAAACACACTTTTTGAAAAAGAACAAATGTTTTCCTCTCTGGCTGGACTGACCCGTTCAGATGAACCGCTCACTTTGCCTAAAAAGATCCATCTCCGCCTATTTTTGTGTTTTTATTCCTGCATTGGGAGTCCTGCACACATGGCACGCTGCGTTCAGAGCCGATCGCTCCTGTCAATCACCCGTCCACGCTGCGCATGCAGCACATTACCTGAAAACAGCTGGATCAGCTGTCAGAGCCATGTTAAATAAAGGGATAACCCGGCTATTTTTAAAGCAGAGTTGTGGGTTAAAATTTATAACAAAGACCTAACATGATGTTGGAGTAAGTTATTTTTTAATAGGGGCAGATATATGATATTATTTTTGTTCTTTTTGCCTTCTTTTCATTCAGTAATTGATTTGCTTTAATTTTTTAATAGGCTTTGTTGTTTTTATAAAATAAATAAATACTCTCAGCTACTACTAGCCTACCTAAGCATCACAGTAATTATTTGTGAAGGGGATCCCCTCCTCATTTAAAATCTAATGGTACCACTTTACAATAAGGCTCCCCTTATAGATGGCTTATAAAGAGTTTATAGATAGGTTATTAATTCATCTGTTAACACTTCAAAAAAATCATTAATAAATGTTTATTATGGAATAATTAAGGACGAGAAAGAGAGAAAACTGTCCAGTTTCTTACCAAATAATGACACAAATCTGTTCACGTGGTGCTATATTAAACATTTCACACTAGGTTACTACATTGTAAGCACAATAACAATAACACATATTTTAACATATTATATTGTATTGTATTACTGCATTATAAATATTCACAACTGTCAAAGGGAGACATCGTAAAGTGTGATACAGTACACTAATTATTAATGACAAATACACATTTATAAATGCCAAAAGTTAGTTCAGCGCCTCAAAATCTCACTCCAAGCTCAGGTCAAAACTTGAGAGTCCTGTAAGTTATAAAACTTTGACATGGAAGATTATCTACTCTGTTTTTTTAAGATGAAAAAATAAATAAATTAAACTTAAATAATGCCACAAATCATTTATCCGTATGGAGTGTATCAGATCTAGAAAGGTGTACAAATCTAAAGACGCCAGCAGAACAGAGAGTAAACATTAGTGTGGTACATCACCTGACATGGAGCGGACACGTAACCTTGTGGATCTGTTGTGTTGCTGACTGGACTGGGACTCCAGAGTGGCTGGAGCCTCTTTTGTGATCCGTGTGTGGAGTGATGGATCTGACCTGGCAAAGCAACACAGCAAAACATTCACAAAGAAGCTGGTGAGCCTAACCATGTGTCTCTGCAAGGATGAAGTTACACATTTTCATTTATCGTAGTGTATATTAGTGCTGGGCAGTATGACCAAAATTTGACATCACAGTATTATTATTGTTTTTAATTCAATTCAATTCAAAAATTTATTCATTTCATTAAAAAATACTACAGTATATACAATAATAAAAAAATAAACCAAAACCAAAAAAATATACAAATCAAAATAAAATGAAAGGTAGCAGAAGGAGAATAAATCTTATTTGGTCTGCCCCTTTTCGACCCAGAATATATTCAAATGAAACATAATTTACAAAACAATACTAAATAACATAAAATAAAAAATAAAAATAATAAAATCAACAATATAAAAACATCAACTCCAACAACAAACCAAATAGCTTCACATTTTACTTTTCATATATTTTTAAAAAACTAGCCTTTATCCGTCTTTTAAACATAGATCTGGCATTTTTAAGATCATCTTCCAGACCATTCCACAATCTCATACCCTGGATTAAAGTACATCTTTCTTTCAAGCAAGTATGAAAATATGGCTTCACAAACATTTCCATCCCCTTTAGATAATAACAACTGTCTCTCTTAACAAAGTTTACCTGAATGTTGGAAGGTAATACGTTTCTGTGAGCCTTGTACATAAACAGTAAAATATTGTAGTCAAGTCATAGAATTTCAAAA